CGCTGGTTCTTCTGACGTGTTTGCAAGTGTATATATTTTCTATCTAGGTTAACGGCTGACACACACAGAACAACGTAACAAATAAAGTAAACAACGTAACGAATAAACAAATCTAAGCTTTTTTATTGGTTGTAATTTACATGGATACATTTGAATGGTGTGACAATGTCCTATTTGATTGGGTTAAAATGTACATATTCTTCCTGTTATGTCTGCCTGCTTTATTTTACCTAATGCAAAGTGACCTGCTCCATCGAAATCAGTCGCATTGACCCGAAGACACATTTTGAGTTGTATACACTGTTGGAAAGAGGAGATTCATAACTTTCTAATGATATCAGGATTGTTGTTGTAGGCTACTCCAAATATTAAGCAAAATATGTCACATTATATAATGACTGTTACAGAGTCATCATTTTGAGAAAAAGGCCTTTAAAGTTTCCTCTTCTCTGGATCGATCTGATTGATTATTAGCGGAGCAAATGATCAAAATAGTACGAAGGGAAGATAGGGGAAGTCCGCGAGTGTGTGTGTGTATACGTGTGTGTTTGCGTATTTTTGCGTTTGTGTGTATTGTGTTTGTTTCCCGGGGAAAACACTCACGAGAAACACCGGCTGTTATGCCTGCAGTGACGTAAAGTTACTCCGTTGCTTTTAATTATGCCGTTACAAGCTTCAAAGTTGTATTTATCATCTGAATTTGCCAAAACAAGTTTAATATTCTGAAAGCCAAGACTTTGTTTATTTGAAATCAGATAAAAACAAACTGTAACGGACCCTGCCGTGTTATCTATGATTACTATACGCCTTACATTCATAATTTCAGCAGAGGGAGGGGAAGCGGCGCTGTGGAACAGCAGAGTGGCGAGTGAAAGCTTTACAAGCTTAAAAAATGCCTGTAGCTAATGAGATCACCCTCCACGTGTTACAAATGATGCAAACAACATGAATTATTTCACAACAAGAATGCTGCAGCTGCGTCAGAGCGTACACTTCAACTTCATATTTCAAAGATGGACATCGCAGTTCCCCACCATCTCATATGTTCCTTTACCAGACAATGCAACGACTAATGACATGAGTTAAGGTGACATTTTGATTTTGCATTATTACCAGTGCAGTAAAGTAACTAAGTACAATTACTCAAGTACTGTACTTTTGTACAATTCTGAGGTTTGTGTACTTTACGTGTCTATCTCCATTTGATTCTACTTTGTACTTTTACAATTCAGAGGTAAATATTGTACTTTTTCTCCACTACATTTATTTAACACCTTAAGTTACTTTGCAGATCTGGATAAATGATATCAAACACAATCAACACTTAAATAAGTCTTGTTGAGGTCTCCATATTAGGTTGAGTAATTAAAACGAAAGTTAATTCTAATCAAATATAATCAAATATATTCTTGTATAACCCACAATGAAAATGCATTATATTTCATGTTGTTCTATAATCACAGTATATACAAAACACAAGTGGTTTGTTAAGTTGAGTTTAAGGCCTACTATAGTTTATGGGTGTCAGTGTTTAGCAGAGGGGAGACATTTGTCTTCACTCACAGCTGGCTGTGCACAGGGAGGGGCCCCTGACTTGTTGAAAGAATACTGAGGCCCCAGAAAATGTGTTATGCCATACCATAAAAGGATATGTTAGACATATCCAGTCCTGCACACCAGAGGAAGAGTGTGTCTTTGGGTTTTTTCTGTCTTTTTGTGCAGTATAAAAGCACTAACTAAAAGGGAGGAAAGCTTCAGAGCTGGGTTTTTTCCTGCGTAAATTCTCTCAAACTTGGTAAGGTTTTTCGAATTGATTTGTTGTATGCTGAGTGAATTGTTGGATGAAATGTTGAACTGTTAGATCCCGCTGACCATTTATGAGGAACTGCCTCTGAATGTTGTCGGACTAGGTGTGAATGCGTAGCACCGGCGATTTATGAGGAGATTCCTCTGGATTATGTCGGAAGACTTTAATGTCAAAACTGTGAATTAAGGTGTCATATTAGAAAATGACCACAGCATGATATGTGTTGTATGATTGTCATATTGTAACGAGAGAAGGTAAAACCCTGTACAAGTATGGACCAATTTTTCTTCAAATAAACTGATCCCACCATTTGGATTGGGACAATTTAAAAGAAATCTGCGCTCTCCTCTCCTGCTTGAAAGGTAAGATTGCACACTGCCACGCACTTACAATAGGTAGGGCCACACCTCATTACTGATACCAAAATCCTTCGGGATCGCTTCAACAGATTTAGCGTGTCGTCTGAATTGAAACAGCAGTTAATTGAACCTGGTTCTTCAGGAGTTAATAGAGGTGAGACCTTGCTGATCTTGGTGGATCTGAGCCAAGCAGTAAACTTACACGGACTCAATAGCTTCTGTTAGGTCAATTAGTAGGTCTGAGTAATTTGCCGGAATAAATTATCAGGCCTCCCGACTCCAACAGTCTTTTGTTTAGACCTGGACTCAATTCACAAACTACCCTGAAGTAAATAAAATAATAAAAATGAGTTCCACTGCAATGATAAACATATTTGTGTATCAATAATTATAATCAGAACATATAATATATATTACTCTGAAATGGGCTGATCTGCATAATGAGTACTTTTACCACTTTAAGTATATTTTTATGTTAATACTTTTGTACTTTTACTTGAGTAACATTTTGAATGCAGGATTTGTACTTGTAACAGAGTATTCCTACACTCTGGTACTTCTACTTTTACTCTAGTACAAGAGTACTTTTTCCACCTCTGGATATTACTTATTAATGAGATGAATCTAAGAGAGCCTCACTACACCATTTGCCCACCGTCACTTTGGTCCTAGCGTCCACTGTGAAGAGTTCCTTCAGGCAGCAGATATTTGGTTGATGAGAACGGACTTTTCTTTGAGGTCCCCTCGTCCCACCATGCCCAACATTGTTTACAAATGAAAACCCTCAACACCTTCAGGACTTTATGGAGAATAGATGTATTATTACTGAGAGCTTGGGGTCAGTGGGGGCTTCTCCTCGATGTAAAGGAATATCTTAATGAGCATTATAATAAGAATCAAAGACACTTGCAGGTAACCAACGGGATGTTTGACCCTGAAAGATTGTTGGATCTTTCACAAGGAGAAGAGGGGATGAACATTTACGTTATATTCCACCATCAATGCTGAAACACTGCCTCTCTCTTTCCAAATGGAAACAGGGCAAGCAATACACTTCTTTATCTAAAGATGCAAGACAGCCGTATGATCACTGTCTCTTATTTTAACCTGAAGACTTTCTATCTCCCCGTCATGGCAGAGGACACTGGGCCAGTCTTAACTCCTATCAGCTGTGGGCCCACACTTCTTCATGTCTATGTCATGTGACTATATTTTGGAGAGAAAGATCTGACATAGGGAGAGATGTGAAGGACACATACTTCAATGTGTCCTAACATGAAGAGATTAAGATCAGAACATGTATAGACCCTAATGTTTGAATATATTTGTATGTTTATAGTGATAAATAAAGGAATTAGATCAACAATTATTTTACACTGAGGAGACAGCAGAGCTTGAGTGGTCACATCAGAAGGTCACCAACACACTTCCAGAGGCCATCTACCAGGGAGTTCCCATCTTCAGCCTTCCTCTGATGTTTGACCAGGAGGGTGACCTGTTCAGGATGAGAGGGGAAAGCCTATTGGCTCATTAAACAGAGACTACTTCCTGGAGGCGGTGCTTCAAGAGATCGTGCAGGAGCTGATTCTGATTTGTATTTTAACAGTAAATGTTTGTGTTGTAAAGTGTTTGGTGTGAGGAAAGAAAAGCTGCACTCATACAGACACTTATGTTGCCCTGTATGTATGTTTGTAGCAGCTGAGTTTTTCTCTAACTCTAGTTGACAGGAAGGAATGAGATAACAGAAAATGAAAAGATTGTTGCATAAAGTATTTTTCTTGATTCTTTTTTAATAACTTGTTCAACCAGGTTTCATGATAGTAGAGCAGCTCAAAACAACAGTTGGACTGTGAAGAGCTGAAAGACTCATGTCTAAGATATAATGCAATCTGAAGAATGTGTTTGAGATGATTTGACCACTTGGTGCCTGATGAAGCCACAACGAGAGCCACAGCAGAGATTCATTTCTTAGATTCCCTGGACATACTGTCTGTCAAACAGGATGGCGTTTTTGTGAAGGATATGTATTAAAAGAAAAATAGCTATTGATCAACCTGTGCATGAAACAATGTTATCCATAAGTGAAATAAATGACATGTTCAATGTTCAAAATGATCCAGCAGTTAAACACATCTTGACTTTGTCTTCATCTTGTGGTGTTTACGGGAAGTGAAACGTGACCATGCAATCACATATTATGATGTGGTTCACATGTTGCACATTTGTACATGTTCTTAAAACTGCACTCAGTAGGTTACACAACCAATACATGTAATAGTGAAAGTAGTACATCCTTAGTGAAAACTCTCCTCCAGAGCAAATCATTGAGACAGTCATGTGTCTGTGTGTATAACCCCTCAGTGATGCCCCCTTCAATGAGGCTGGTTTATTACAGCTTTAAATCACACAGCTGATCAACAACTGGATCAGCTGGGTTTTAACTAACTCAAGACAAAGTATCAAAGTGAATATATATGTGTTTTGCAGGAAAGTATGTCATGCATTCCTCTTTTTTGTTTTGAATCTACTTTGTATATATTATAATGCTGCAGTGGAGTTGGAGAAAGGTAAATGTGACTCCTGACTGTTTCTAAGAGAGAATCAAAACAGCTCCATCAAATGAAACACGTAGCACAGCTCCAGTATGCAATGCTTTACCCCTCACATGTTTTCTGCTGACTCTCCTTCATCAGGGTGGGAGCTTCTTTGTTTACAGCAGGTTCATCCGTCACATGACTTCACACAAGGAAACAGATTTAATGAGTTTGGCTGTCCATTAATGTAAAGGGTAAAAGAGATTCATGGAGGGATGCAATGCATTGAATAAGAAGAGATTACATCATTAAGAAATTATTTATTTATATTTTTGTACAATTCTCTTACATCATGTATATTCTCTGTAAATTGTCACATGGCTATTTGACAGATGTACGTGAAGAAACTGGAAAAAACCTCATTATCTGAATAAAACTGCTGGTTATTCAATCACAAGAGATCAGAAGCAGCATTACACATACTAAACTTAATTGTAAAGCTGTTATTCCCTTTAGGTTAATAAGAAATTGACATTTTCAATTACCATAAATGTTATTGTCCATCTATACAGTACGGAGAATGTCACATGACGAAGAATCAATCAAAGATGCTACCTGCAGGAAAACAACATACCCATATATACAAATAATGAATCAAAAGACCCCAAAATATCAGTTATTCAAGTTAAACGGATGAATTATAGTGCTTTACAAATGATGTTTGACTATAGACTAGATGTTGATAAAAGGAGAATTGACAGCTTTGATTTGTTAGTTTTGTTGGTTTCATGCCATTTCAGCAAAACATACAAAATGATTACATTTGTTAAAAGTCAAGAATTCACCACAAAAAAAAACCATTCTGATGACATCCATTAAAGGAAAACAGAACATCTATTAATTGATTTAAAGATGTTGGGTCAAAAATGTAAACATTCCTCTTCCTTGACTCAATATGTCAACAATTATTTTCAGATTAAGATAAAAAAAGAAAATGTCAGTGAGTTACATGAACACGACACACAGCCTATGAACAACTATTACCACATATTAACTATAACTAAAAACAATGTTTTTTTTACACTGGGACTTTGGGAAAGCTGTAAATAAAACATGATCACATTTTCAGAACATTTAGAAATCTTACAGGCTAAAATTATGATCTGATGATTATCTGTTTCTTATCCTGATTATTTCAAAGACATCTAGACGGACAGTGAAGTCAGAATAAAGTCTGAACTAACACTCCTGAGCATCACAGAGGAATCTCACTTTGACACATTTTGATATCAGCAGTTTTAGCATCACCAGCTTCTCCAATACTGAAAAATGGGAAGAGTTTCTCAGTGAAAGTGTCTCTGTAAGTGTAGATGGGAGTCATGTCTTCAGGGTCGTAGAAGGAGACCTCCCCCATGTCATAGTCCAGCTGGACTCTGATCCTCTGGAGATTCTTCTTCACTCCGACAGTCTCACCAGCACCATTAGTGTATTCTCCACTGCTATGTTCTAAACACCAGATTCCATCTTTTGGTGAGACAAATATCTTTCCCTTCCTGTCAGCTGAGTCTTTAGTCAAACCTATAATCCAGCTAGGATGATCTCCCACCTCCACCTCCCAGCTGTGTTTCCCTGAGCTGAAGCCCTCAGAGCCCAGAACATCAGCATAGTTAGTGCATCTCTCTGGATTATCAGGAAGCTGCTGATCTTTGTCTCCATATCTCACACTGGTCAGATCATCAGACAGAGAGAGCCAGCGGTTTGCAGTGTTTGGGTCCAGAATGACAGGACTGAAGTGGACCTGGTCCTTCATCTTCTCCCAGACTCTGAAGGACAGGTTGCCCAGGTGTTTGGCCACATCTATCAGCGCTCCTGAGAGCAGCTGTGGGTCTGACAGTGAGCTCTGGACTCTGGCTCTGCTCTGAGTGGCTTTGTAACTGCTGAGGAAGGGCCCGTTGTGTTTCTGCAGCTCTTCTTCAACAGCAGAGATACTGTGTGACAGAGAGGAGATGTGCTTCTGAATGCTCTTCATCTCTCTGCGGATAGTCTTCCCTTTCTGCTCCTCTTCCTCCTTCAGAGCTGCCAGTCTGGACTCCTCTTCCTCTTTCAGGAACTGATGGAGCTTGATGAACTCTGCTCTGATCTTCCTCTCTGTGGACAGCAGCTGCTTCTTGGAACCTTGAATCACTTCCTTGTATGTTTTCTCCACTCCTTTGTATTTGTCCCTCTTGTCCTGCAGAGACCCTAAGTCAGATTTCAGCAGGTCCTTCAGCTCACTGACTGCTTGTTCAGATCCAGCTTCCTGTCTCTCAGCAAAGGAGTCAGCCAGCTCCTTCAGTGTAAAATTCACCACAAGATTTTTTGAGAAATTTATTTTACAAATAGGACAGTTTTTGTTCTTACTTTGTTCCCAGAATCTCTGCAGGCAGCTCAAACAGAAGCTGTGGCTGCAGCTCAGAGACACAGGGTCTCTGAAAGTCTCTGAACACACATGGCAGCTCAGGTCACTTTCAAGAAGAGCGGTTTTCTCAGCCATTTGATTTTAAAGTTATTTCTAAAGTTTTCTGTCCACTTCTCCCCTAATATACTCCAAACTTGTGTGTTTTCCAGCAAAGATTTCAGACCCTCTGATGGCGTCTCAGCTCTGTTCAACAATCTCTAAACCTTTGGTTTTCTCTCTCCTCTGTCACAGGATGATTGATCAACAGCAGGAAATGCTGCTATGTCATTTATTCACCAGCAGATGGAGTCAGGATGTCTTTCAGAGGGAAATGAACTTTGGTATTCAGGTTGGGACGATGAAGTTGAACAGGTATCTGTGTGAAGAGAAACACAAAAGGTTTCAAACATTTTAATGAAATCTTTAATTTTTCATTGACATAAGAATAAAAGTTGATCAAATGCAACAAACAAGAAAATGGTTGTTGTATTTAAGTCAATGGAGGGTATAACATTTCAACTGGCTGACTGTTTTCAGCCACTCTAAAATGTATTTCCTTGTACTTTTATCCTGTCTGACATCTGTATGACTTGTTTATCCGTTGGAGGACGTACTCAAAATATAAAATAATTAATAAAGCATATGTTAAAGATTATTTATTTCTGCTTTTTGCATTTATTAATGAAAGAAGGGAAGAAGGGGCGACTTGCAGCAGACGGACTTTTTTTGTCAGGTTTCAAACTCCGGCCGATGCAGGAGTCAGACTTAGTCTATGAAGCTCAATAAACAAACTACTCCTTTATGCTTTATCCACTTAGTCAAGTATTAAAAAGCTCATAAAATGCCACAGAAAAGGAGAGGATTGTGCCTTTGTCCTCCAGTGAGGACTCAACATTTCAACAGGCTGAGCGACACTAAACCAGTTTCACATGGTTTCAAGGCCGTAACCATGGAGTCAACATTGGGGGGGACCAGAAATTCAATCAAAATTTGAATACTAATTTCCTGCGACGATTTTTTTTTAAATGTTGAAGTTAAATGTATCAATCTGGTGCACTTCGAGAGCAACATTAGGGACTAAATCTATGGATACATCTCTCAACACCTATATGAAACAGAACTGTAAACAGATTTACTTTTTCTTCATGCATATTTTACAAATCACTCCCCTAGCTACTATTCCTGAAAAGTTCGGTTTTAACATCAGAAATACAAGTTATTTACACAAAGAAGCTAAACCGGAGGGTTCATTAACATTACCATTAGGAAATAAAATAATATAGATTACTTTAGAGCTAACTAGAAAAAGATACCAGAACTGATGGAGGGCAAATTAAAACATGACTGACGTGCTTGGAGCATCAAGCTAACTGAAGCTGGACTCAGACGTGCGACAGCGAAATACACCCCCCGGGTACAAAATAAAGATATGCATAAACAAACAAAGGCGGAACCAATTTACATATGAAAAGAATATATCATTTTGGTGAAGTTCACAATAACAGAAAATAAAGATTTTCAAGTATACAAATAGCCAAAATAAAAAAGTCAGAAAATAGCAATTTTAGTTAGGCTATATATTGGGGGGGACATTTTGAGCGTATCTGAATATTGGGGGGGATGTGTCCCCCCCAATGTATATGGTGAATTCGGCCCTGCATGGTTTTATTTTTCAGTCACTAACAGGAAACATGTTCTGCCAACACGTCTGTCTCACTGTGTTCATATCATCCAGTTGGAGTAAAGATAAACACTCTCTAAATGTATAATCCTAATATCTACATCAGTTCTATCAACTCAAGTGTATTTGTTTTTCTTCCTGACACTTTTTCACTCTCATTAATTCATTTGATCATATCTTCACCCTTTCATTGGTATTAAGGATCATCATATATCATGCTTTTGTCACCTCCCGCTTGGACTACTGCAATGGTGTCCTGTTTGGGGTCCCCAACAAAACCCTGGACAGGCTCCAGTATGTTCAGAACTGTGCTGCCACGGTACTCACACATACAAAGCCCTGGCAGCACATCACTGCACCCTCATCCACCTCCACTGGCTGCCGGTCAAGTCCCGCATATCCTACCAAGTCCTCACCTCACAAGTCCCTCCATGCCCATACCCCCCAGTACTTATCGGACATCCTCCGCCCACATGCCCCACCCCGGAACCTGCGGTCTTCAGACTCTGGTCTGCTTACCACCGCCCCCCCCCGCACCAACCTGCGAACCTTCGGGGACAGAGCCTTCAGTGTGGCAGCTCCCCCCCCCTCTGGAACGCTCTCCCTGCGGAGATCCGCAACATCCCCACGCTTGACGCCTTCAAAAGGGCCCTCAAGTCCCATCTGTTTGCTAAGGCCTTTGGCCCCTAATCTATTTGTTGTTTTGTCTGTCTGACTTTTGTTTTGTTATGTTTGTTTCTACTCCTGTTCTTCTTTGTAAAGCAACCTTGGGTCTCATGAAAGGCGCTATATAAATCCAAGCTATTATTATTATTATTATTATTATTATTATTATTATTATTATACCACATATATATATATTCATTTCAACACTTTTTGGATTTCCTTTTTAGAGACAAACACCTGCAAAATAAATAATTATCTTTTGTTTTTGAAACAATACATTTTCAGATAATGTCTTACATATATTTAGAATGTATAAATAGGAGAGTGAAGGGTTTTTAAAGAACAGGATTTTCAGGATATGAAAGTTAAATATATTTAAAATACAGATTTCTCATTATCTTAGTTTTTGTTTTCAGCCTCAAAAAGAAATAACATCTCTCCTGAAAAAAACATTACATCCCTTTGTTTATGTAAGATTATTGTAGCAGTAACTTGAGTGCACACAAAACAAAGTTACACAATATTAGACACAGAGCCAGCACACAGAGAGAGAGAGTTCAGACATGCAGAGAAGTTGTTAGACAGGAACACTTTCCATAAACCTTCAACGTGATGAGGACCTCCAATAAAATACTCAGATCAAATACCTCTAAACCAGTGTGTGAACTTTGTCCATGATCGACACACTGCACAACAGTCAGTGTACGGCCTGTCACTCACTCAACATATACATCATAAATCTTCCAGCTCTGCACAGCCTGTTTATCTGCTTTCCAACAGCTTTCCACTGTACAACATGAATGATCATCTCTGAATCCAGACGCTTCATTCAACTTCATAACTACAACGTGTAAAGAGATACAGACTGCATGTATTCAACATGTACAGAAGCACACACTGATGATTTACTGATGTATCTCTGCAGAGGAAATACAAGAGTTGTTGAAGTCCATGAACATATGGGAGTGGATTCCTTTCAAAACAGATTACTGGAGGAAACAAGTGTGTCTCATTTAAAGTAATTAACTTTACAGTACTTGATTAACCTCTATCCTGCATGAAATAATATTGTTTATTTCAATTAAAATCTGTTGATGTAGTTAAAAAAAAAAGTTATTTGCAGGACTCACCAACTCACAGTCTCTCCACTTCTCTTCTTTATTCACTCCAAGTGTGTGTTTCCCAGCAGAGATCTCACCTCCTCTGATGGCATCTTCATCAATCTCTGAATCTTCTTTGGTTTCCTCCTTTAAACAGTCTCTGGTTTTCTCTCACCTCTGTCACAGGATGATTGATCAGCAGCAGGAATGCAGTTGTGTCATTTATTCACCAGCAGATGGGGTCAGGATGTCTTTCAGAGGGAAATGTATTTGGTATTCAGTTCAGGACGAGGACTTGGTCCAGGTATCTGTGTGAAGAGAAGCACAAGGGGTTACATATATTTATTTTTTGTAAAGCTGATCTTTCTTGTTGTTTTATATTGTCAAAATGAAATTGCTCATAAAATCCAACCAACAAGGAAATGGTTGTTGTATTTTAGTTGAAGGAGAGTGGAACATATCAATAGGCTGATCAGTCAAACTAGTTTTACATCATTTTCTTTCAGCCACTGTCACATTAGTTTCCTTAAACTTATCCTGCCTGACATCTTCATGTTCCTTTCAAATACAATCTACTGACATGGTTAAAAAATACATTATTAATAAGTCATTATTAAAGATATCAAGAAATACAAAAATGGTCAAGTTATTTCATTTCATTTCAAACCTTTATTTATCCAGGTTGTGTCCCATTGAGATCATTGATCTCTTTTTCAAGGGAGACCTGCTCAAGTAGGTTCCACATGAAACATTAAAAACATAAACAGAACAACAAAAAGGACATCATACAGTATCATTACAGGGATTACAATTTACATAATTATTGGTTATTATAAAGATCAGCCATTTATTATGATCTAAAATATCCTTTAAAAAAAAAATAGATGTATAATCGTGTGTGCTTTAGTCCTGGGTGACATGATATCTGTAAATAACTAATATATTTAACATTAGGAACAAACATGGGGAAACTTTTCACCCTGACACCAACTCACCTCACCTGATGTGACCTTATCCAGTTATTTAAAGCGAAAGAGGAAACTAGCAGTCAGTCTAACACTCTGCCCTCTGGTGGATGATTCATGAAGAGCAGCTTAAACAGACCAACAGGTCCATCCATCTTTAATCTCCTCTCACATTGAACTACTTTAACAGTGAACTATTTTGCATCAGCAGCAGAACATCAACAGGAAACATGAAACCTTCCTGATGAAACCTGTCTCCACTGAACCTCCTCCTTGTTTTATGGTTCCAGCTTCACCTCAGGAGGATCCAGGTGAGACCGCTGACACCGGCTGCTCCGCTCTCCTGGGTCAAACCACTGGGTCAACATGAAGATCTTCACCCAGCAGCTCCACTCAGAGGTCACAACATCCCAGAGATCCAGACCTAAACCAGCTGCTACATCAACGCAGAGTCCCATCACTACAATCACCCTCCACGTGTTACAAATGATGCAAACAACATGAATTATTTCACAACAAGAATGCTGCAGCTGCATCAGAGCGTACACTTCAATTTCATATTTCAAAGATGGAGAGGAGTTGGACATTGCAGTTCCCCATCACCATCTCATATGTTCCTTTACCGGACAATGCAACGACTAATGACATGAGTTAAGGTGACATTTTGATTTTGCATTGATATTACCAGTGCAGTAAATTAACTAAGTACAATTACTCAAGTACTGTACTTTTGTACAATTCTGAGGCTTGTGTACTTTACGTGTCTATCTTCATTTTATTCTACTTTGTACTTTTACAATTCAGAGGTTTGGACCTGGACTAAATTCACAAACTACCCTGAAGTAAATAAAATAATAAAAATGAGTTCCACTGCAATGATAAACATATTTGTGTATCAATAATTATAATCAAAACATATAATATATATTACTCTGAAATGGGCTGATCTGCATAATGAGTACTTTTACCACTTTAAGTATATTTTTATGTTAATACTTTTGTACTTTTACTTGAGTCACATTTTGAATGCAGGATTTGTAGGCTACTTGTAACAGAGTATTCCTACACTCTGGTATTTCTACTTTTACTTCAGTACAAGATCTGAGTAATTTTTCCACCTCTAGATATTACTTATTAATGAGATGAATATAAGAGAGCCTCACTACACCATTTGCCCACCGTCACTTTGGTCCTAGCGTCCACTGTGAAGAGTTCCTTCAGGCAGCAGATATTTGATTGATGAGAACGGACTTTTCTTTGAGGTCCCCTCGTCCCACCATGCCCAACATTGTTTACAAATGAAAACCCTCAACATCTGCAGGACTTTATGGAGAATAGATGTATTATTACTGAGAGCTTGGGGTCATAGTGGGGGCTTCTCCTCAATGTAAAGGAATATCTTAATGAGCATTGTAATAAGAATCAAAGAAACTTGCAGGTAACCGACGGGATGTCTGATCCTGAAAGATTGTTGGATCTTTCACAAGGAGAAGAGGGGATGAACATTTACGTTATATTCCACCATCAATGCTGAAACACTGCCTCTCTCTTTCCAAATGGAAACAGAGCAAGCAATACACTTCTTTATCTAAAGATGCAAGACAGCCGTATGATCACTGTCTCTTATTTGAACCTGAAGACTTTCTATCTCCCCGTCATGGCAGAGGACACTGGGCCAGTCTTAACTCCTATCAGCTGTGGGCCCACACTTCTTCATGTCTATGTCATGTGACTATATTTTGGAGAGAAAAATCTGACATAGGGAGAGATATGTAAACAAGGCGTACTTCAATGTGTCCTAACATGAAGAGATTAAGATCAGAACATGTATAGACCCTAATGTTTGAATATATATGTATGTTTATAGAGATAAATAAAGGAATTAGATCAACAATTATTTTACACTGAGGAGATAGCAGAGCTTGAGTGGTCACATCAGCAGGTCAACAACACACTTCCAGAGGCCATCTACCAGGGAGTTCCCATCTTCAGCCTTCCTCTGATGTTTGACCAGGAGGGTGACCTGTTCAGGATGAGAGGGGAAAGCCTATTGGCTCATTAAACAGAGACTACTTCCTGGAGGCGGTGCTTCAAGAGATCGTGCAGGAGCTGATTCTGATTTGTATTTTAACTGTAAATGTTTGTGTTGTAAAGTGTTTGGTGTGAGGAAAGAAAAGCTGCACTCATACAGACACTTATGTTGCCCTGTATGTATGTTTGTAGCAGCTGAGTTTTTCTCTAACTCTAGTTGACAGGAAGGAATGAGATAACAGAAAATGAAAAGATTGTTGCATAAAGTATTTTTCTTGATTCTGTTTTAATAACTTGTTCAACCAGGTTTCATGATAGTAGAGCAGCTCAAAACAACAGTTGGACTGTGAAGAGCTGAAAGACTCATGTCTAAGATATAATGCAATCTGAAGAATGTGTTTGAGATGATTTGACCACTTGGTGCCTGATGAAGCCACAACGAGAGCCACAGCAGAGATTCATTTCTTAGATTCCCTGGACATACTGTCTGTCAAACAGGATGGCGTTTTTGTGAAGGATATGTATTAAAAGAAAAATAGCTATTGATCAACCTGTGCATGAAACAATATTATCCATAAGTGAAATAAATGACATGTTCAATGTTCAAAATGATCCAGCAGTTAAACACATCTTGACTTTGTCTTCATCTTGTGGTGTTTACGGGAAGTGAAACTTGACCATGCAATCACATATTATGATGTGGTTCACATGTTGCACATTTGTACATGTTCTTAAGACTGCACTCAGTAGGTCACAAGACTAATACATGTAATAGAGAAAGTAGTACATCCTTAGTGAAAACTCTCCTCCAGAGCAAATCATTGAGACAGTCATGTGTCTGTGTGTATAACCCCTCAGTAATGCCCCCTTCAATGAGGCTGGTTTATTACAGCTTTAAATCACACAGCTGATCAACAACAGGATCAGCTGGGTTTTAACTAACTCAAGACAAAGTATCAAAGTGAATACATATGTGTTTTGCAGGAAAGTATGTCATGCATTCCTCTTTTTGTTTTGAATCTACTTTGTATATATTATAATGCTGCAGTGGAGTTGGAGAAAGGTAAATGTGACTCCTGACTGTTTCTAAGTGAGAATCAAAACAGCTCCATCAAATCAAACACGTTGCACAGCTCCAGTATGCCATGCTTTACCCCTCACATGTTTTCTGCTGACTCTCCTTCATCAGGGTGGGAGCTTCTTTGCTTACAGCAGGTTCATCCGTCACATGACTTCACACAAGGAAACATAGATTTAATGAGTTTGGCTGTCCATTAATGTAAAGGGTCAAAGAGATTCATGGAGGGATGCAATGCATTGAATAAGAAGAGATTACATCATTAAGAAATGATTTATTTATATTTTTGTACAATTCTCTTTCATCATTTATATTCTCTGTAAATGGTCACATGGCTATTTGACAGATGTACGTGAAGAAACTGGAAAAAACCTCAGACACATTTCTGAATAAAACTGCTGGTTATTCAATCACAAGAGATCTGAAGCAGCATTACACATACTAAACTTAATTGTAAAGCTGTTATTTCCTTTAGGTTAATAAGAAATTGACATTTTCAATTACCATAAATGTTATTGTCCATCTATACATACGGAGAATGTCACATGACGAAGAATCAATCAAAGATGCTACCTGCAGGAAAACAACATACCCATATATACAAATAATGAATCAAAAGACCCCAAAATATCAGTTATTCAAGTTAAACGGATGAATTATAGTGCTATACAAATGATGTTTGACTATAAACTAGATGTTGATAAAAGGAGAATTGACAGCTTTGATTTGTTAGTTTTGTTGGTTTCATGCCATTTCAGCAAAACATACAAAATGATTACATTTGTTAAAAGTCAAGAATTCTCCACAAAAAAAAACATTCTGATGACATCCATTAAAGGAAAACAGAAAATCTATTAATTGATTTAAAGATGTTGGGGATAAAATGTAAACATTCCTCTTCCTTGACTCAATATGTCAACAATTATTTTCAGATTAAGATAAAAAAGAAAATGTCAGTGAGTTACATGAACACGACACACAGCCTATGAACAACTATTACCACATATTAACTATAACTAAAAACAATGTTTTATTTACACTGGGACTTTGGGAAAGCTGTAAATAAAACATGATCACATTTTCGGAACATTTAGAAATCTTACAGGCTAAAATTATGATCTGATGATCATCTGTTTTTTATCTTGATTATTTCAAAGAGATCTAGACGGACAGTGAAGTCAGAATAAAGTCTGAACTAACACTCCTGAGCATCACAGAGGAATCTCACTTTGACAGATCTTGATATCAGCAGTTTTAGCATCACCAGCTGGTCCAATACCGAAATATGGGAAGAGTTCCTCAGTGAAAGTGTCTCTGTGAGTGCAGATGTGAGTCATGTGTTCAGGGTCGTAGAAGGAGACCTCCCCCCTGTCATAGTCCAGCTGGACTCTGATCCTCTGGAGATTCTTCTCCACTCCGACAGTCTCACCAGCACCATTAGTGTATTTTCCACTGCTATGTTCTAAACACCAGATTCCATATCTTGGTGAGACAAATATCTTTCCCTTCCTGTCAGCTGACTCTTTAGTGTAACCTATATTCCAGACAGGATAATCTCCCACCTCCACCTCCCAGCTGTGTTTCCCTGAGCTGAAGCCCTCAGAGCCCAGAACATCAGCACCGTTAGTGAATCTCTCTGGATTATCAGGAAGCTGCTGATCTTTGTCTCCACGTCTCACACTGGTCAGATCGTCAGACAGAGAGAGCCAGCGGTTTGCAGTGTTTGGGTCCAGAATGACAGGACTGAAGTGGACCTGGTCCTTCATCTTCTCCCAGACTCTGAAGGACAGGTTGCCCAGGTGTTTGGCCACATCTATCAGCGCTCCTGAGAGCAGCTGTGGGTCTGACAGTGAGCTCTGGACTCTGGCTCTGCTCTGAGTGGCTTTGTAACTGCTGAGGAAGGGCCCGTTGTGTTTCTGCAGCTCTTCTTCAACAGCAGAGATACTGTGTGACAGAGAGGAGATGTGCTCCTGAATGCTCTTCATCTCTCTGCTGATCGTCTTCCCTTTCTGCTCCTCTTCCTCCCTCAGAGCTGCCAGTCTGGACTCCTCTTCCTCTTTCAGGAACTGATGGAGCTTGTTGAACTCTGCTGTGATCTGCCTCTCTGTGGACAGCAGCTGCTTCTTGGACACTTGAATCACTGCATTGTATGTTTTCTCCACTCCTTTGTATTTGTTCCTCTTGTCCTGCAGAGACCCTAAGTCAGATGTCAGCAGGTCCTTCAGCTCACTGACTGCTTGTTCTACAGGAACCACCTTGTGACCCTGGTGGAGAGAAAACTCACAGACAGGACACACAGCTCTCTCTTCATCCTTACAGAACAATTTAGGCTCTTCTTGATGTTTACTACACACCACCTCCAGCTTCTTCTCTCCTTTTTCTGTCTCAGATGATCCAGCTTCCTGTCTCTCAGCAAAGGAGTCAGACAGTTCCTTCAGTGTAAAGTTCGCCCAAGGATATTCTTTTGAGGACTTTCTTTTACAAATAGGACAGTTTTTGTTCTTACTTTGTTCCCAGAATTTCTGCAGGCAGCTCGAACAGAAGCTGTGGCTGCAGCCCAGAGACACAGGATCTCTGAAAGTCTCTGAACACACATGGCAGCTCAGGTAACTTTCAAGAAGAGCGGTTTTCTCAGCCATTTGTCTCGGTCACTGGTGTCTTTTAAAAGCAAAACTCACTAAGGTATGTCCTTTCTCTTAAGTGTTTCAAATCCTCCAAACGTGTGTCTCCCAGCAGAAATCTCACACCCTGTAATGGCGTCTCCGCTCTTTTCAACAATGTAAAAATCCTCTTTCGTTTTCTCTGCCCTCTGTCACATGATGATTGATCAACAGCAGGAAATGCTGCTATGTCATGTATTCTCCAGCAGATGGTGTCAGGATGTCTTTCAGAGGGAAATTAACTTTGGTATTCAGTTCAGGACGAGGACTTTGTCCAGGTATCTGTTGTTGGAAGAAAAACACATAAGATTTAATACCACTTTCAATCCCTCTAATCTCTTTCACTAGTTAATCATTGATAGTTATAAATGCAGTCATCTGTTTTATTACCAGCAGATATATTGGAAAGATGAACTTCGGAATCTGGAAGACTTTCAAGTTCTGACTCAAACATGTTTTTAACCCATTTGTTTCCTCTTTGTGATCATCTGACCGGTGTTCAATCTTAAACACTGACAGTTAAGGAAGATTGTTGGAAATGTAAATTTCACATATTTAACACTATTTTAAGATTAAGCATTGCACATAAACAGGCCACTAATGCCAAATATAAGTATGCTGTCCGCTTCATTAAAAGAAATGAGGACACAATGAGGGCTGACTCACTTGCCAGAAATCTGCGCAACAACAGTTGCTATGATTTCTGGAAAGAGGTCAAAGTCATAAACAGCTGTAAGACTCCCTTACCGTCTTCCATTGAAGGAGTGTGTGGGTCAGGCAACATTGCAGAACTGTGGCGACAACACTATCATGGTGGTTGAAAAGGTTGACTCCACTGAAAACGTTACAGTTAGATCAGAGGAAGTCTTCAACACTATGAATCTAGAAAATAACAAAGCTTGTGGCCCGGATCTCATCTCAGCTGAACACTTCAAATATGCCAGTCTTAAGCTTGCTCGTCTTCTTGCTCTGTGTCTTACTGGTTTCCTTAATCATGGTGTCTTACCAGTTTCTATGTTATCTGTGCTACTTGTGCCAGTCATCAAGGATAAAGCTGGGGAAAGTAATGGCATTAATAATTACAGACATATTGCTTTAGCTAGCATTCTCTCCAAAGTGCTGGAGACAATTCAGTTGGATAGGCTGGAAAGGTATATTACCACAGCTGACAACCAGTTTGGTTTTAAAAGAAAACACGGCACAGATGTGTGTATTTTTGCTTTAAAATACATTATAGCAAAAATATAGAAGCCAAAATTCCACCATGTTTCTGTGTTTTATTGATGCCTCTAGGGCATTTGATAGACTGAATCATTTCAAATGATTTGACAAAATGTGCCAGAGAGGGGTACTCAAGTACATAATAAGGATCTTAGCCTTCTGGTATGCACATCAGACTATGCAGGTGAAGTGGGGCAATACTGTGTCTGAACATTTTATGTTGGTAATGGGGTCAAGCAAGGTGGGATTTGATCTCCTTTGTTGTTTAATCTGTACATGGATGATCTGTCTAGGAAACTGAACTTGTGTAAAACTGGCTGTGTCATCGGTGCTACTGTTGTCAACCACCTTATGTACGCAGATGATTTAATCATCTTTTCCCCGTACAGTGCAGGCTTACAACAGCTTCTGAGGATTTGTTCCCAGTATGGCATTGATTTTAATATTAAGTATAACGCCAAGAAGAGTAGCATCAGGATTGTGCGAAGTAAAGAGGATAAAAAGGCTGTATTTCCTAATTGTATTCTCAGTAGCAACATTCTTCTTGTGTGCAGTGAGATTAAGTACCTTGGTCATTATATCTCTGATGATCTCACAGATGACAAAGACATCCATAGACAACGCTGCAAACTGTATGCCCAGGCAAACATATTAATGCGGAAATTTCACAAGTGCTCTGTAGATGTCAAGGTATCACTTTTTAAAGCTTTCTGTACACCATTGCACACGGCTCACCTACGGAGTAACTACAAGGCTAGCAGCATGCAAAAACTAAAAGTTGCATACAATGATGCAATACGGTTGCTGGTGAGGGTACCGAGATGGCACAGTGCCAGCCAGCTGTTTGTTAACTTGGGGGTACCTACCTGTCAAGCCCTTTTAAGAAATGTAATGTCCAAATTCATGTGTCGCCTAGAAGAGTCAGACAATCATGTTATCTCGATTTTAATTAACCCTGTGAAGAGTTCTACTCGGTTCTCTTCCATGATTTGGAGACATTGGCGCAACAGCCTCTACAGACAGTGAGCATGTGTGGCTAGCTGTGATTGGACTGATTTCATGTTTTTCATTTGGTTTTTTTGTTTAGCTTTTTAATCTTATTTATTGTTGTGTATTTTGTCATTTTGTCATTTTGTATGTGATATGGACCATGAGTCTGAAATAAAGATTGAATTGAATTGAATTAAGCTTCTTCATGACATTAAAGTCAAATGTGTGTTTCGATGAGCTTATATTCATTGAAGCTTTACAGCTCTCACTATCCTTAGACTTTGGTCTTATTGCATGCAGAATGTCCAAATGACCAATCAGAACGGAGCATTCATCTTAGCCCTGTTATAATCTTTTTTATTGCAGTACCTTTGAACTCAACGTTGTACTTCTACTTGTACTCCCTTGTGATTTTAAGCGGCATGATTCTCCATAAGAGTTGGAGTATACAGTATTTATGTTTAGAGTCACACAAACATAACAGTCTGGAAGAGCACATGTTTTAGGTGTCTTTTTACGTTCTTTGTTTTCATTGCAAAACCCCTCAAAACTTTAAATACTAAAACCAAATATCAGTTTTTATGAAAGATATTCAGATCATAATGATGCATGAAGAAGCAACCAACAACGTCAAAGATTATTCACTTACAAGACTCACGTATGCATGCACAACTTTTCAACTCAATTGTAGGATTTGATACATTTTTAACATTTAATAATACCAAGTAAGGGGCAGTACATGGCCTGGCACCAGGCATCACATATTCATATCAAACGCTTACATAATCCAATTTACATTAAGTTAACCAAATCTGCATTTCTGAATGCACTGATAAATGATTAGAAATAAAAAAACTCACTTCGTTAAGGAAGGAGAATCTCTGGCAGTGTGAGAAAAATATAGCACTTATTGAACATTAAAGCATGTAAACATTTCACAGTAAAAGCACAAAATCCAAATATGAACCTGAAAATGAGCATAATATGTCCTCCTTAGAATTACAATAAAGAATCAAGCTTTTTTATATCTATCTAAACACTCAGAGGCAGGCATATTGTCATAACTCGAACCCTGGTGGGGAGTCTATCAAACCGGCCCACACCTGTCACCTGTAAAACATGAACAACAGGGTGTCGCTGTCCAGGTTGCTAGGCGACAGTGCTACGGACCGTGGGTGTCAGTTGACGCAAACAGGAAGTCCACCTTAAGCCAGACCGTCTCATTTCATAGACCGCTTGGTTTGCTGTTCCTTCACTTTATTTTTATATTTATATACATTTATGTTGGACGAAAACTTAGCGTGAGGAAAGGCATGTGTGGCGTGAGTGCGAGAGATATGTGTTAATTGCGTGACTCTCACGCTCAATGCGTGAGGGTTGGCAGCCCTGACTATAAGTCATGATAATGATATGTGTACCATGGGACCTGTGTGAGGCTGCTGTCTCTTCTTGCTGACTTGAGCTTGCTGCGCCACACGATGGCGTACTTCCTCTTGAAATCGTCGAAGGCTCTCCTCAGTCTCCCTCCTCTTCTCTGCCTGGATCTCTTCAAAGCAAGAGCCTGAAACAAGACATGGGAAAACAGGTTGGAGCACCTTAGGTTAAGTCAGGACTCTAAATGATGTGAATGTGAAAATGTATCAAGCGTTTTCTAAATTAATAATAAGAATACATTCGATTTATAAAGCACCTTTCATTGCTCACAGCAATCCCAAGGTGCTACAGGAGGCATAATAAAAACAAACAAAATAAACAAAAGTTTAATCAAAAGCTTTTTTTTAAAGAAAGGTTTTTAAGCCTTTCTTGAAGGCCTCAGTGGTCTGTGGAGTCTTCAGGTGGTCTGTGGAGTCCTCAGGTGGTCTGGGAGGGAATTCCACAGGCGAGGAGCAGCTGCACAGAAAGCCCGATCCCCCATTGTGCAGAGTTTGGTCCTCAGGGGGCGAAGCCGATGGTTAGTTGTGGAGCGGAGGTTGCGTGTGGAGGTTTGAGATGTGAGAAGTTCCTTCAGGTATGGAGGAGCGTTCCCGTGGATGCATTGATGGGTCAGTAGTGCGATCTTGTATTCGATCCTGAATGAGACAGGAAGCCAGTGGAGGGAATGAAGAACGGGTGTGATGTGGTTGTATTTTCTCACCCTCATCAGGATCCTAGCGGCACTGTTCTGTACATATTGGAGCTTCTGAAGGCTCCCGCTAGGAGTCCCGATGAGGAGAGCGTTGCAGTAGTCCAGCCTTGAGGAGACGAAGGCACGGACCAGTTGTTTAGCATCTGACAGGGAGAGTGTGGGACGGAGTTTTGCAATGTTCCTGAGGTGGTAGAAGGAGGTTTTGCACAGGTGTTTGATGTGGGTGTCAAAGGTCAGATGTCTGTCAAATCTTACACCCAGGTTGGTAACTGCTGTGGAGAGGGGTATGTTTTGTCCAGAAAAGGTAATGTGGGTTACGGGGGATGACTGGGCCTGGTTTGGTGTGCCAACTAAAATATTCACTAAATTCATTTAATTAAAAGTGATTTGGATTTCCTGGTTTCACCTTTTTAAATGTACATATTTGTCTTCTATGATATCAAAGTAAATATCTTCCGGGTTTGGACTGTTGGTCGAACAAAGTAAGCAATATGAATATAGACGGTTCTGAGTCCAAATAACATTATTGATTAATGAATAGAGAATATAAATCAAGAAGAAAAGCCCATGTCAACACTACAATGATACATCAAAGTACCCTTAAGATTTACAACATTTTGCAAGTACGTCTATACTTAAGTATAATTTTGACATATTTACATACTAACTAATTATAACTAGTGCATTATTGTGCTAGCATAACTAGTAATATTGCAAATATGGGAAAGTGGACCTCATTTAGTGGAGTAGTTTAATCTATAACGATACATCACAATTTACTCCTTGATTTATTAGTATTAATCTGAA